CCCACAATGATCGGCAACATAGTGGGTGCCCTGGGCTTGGGAGGAGGGAACCCTGCCCTGACCTGTGTGTCTGCAGACGGCCCGACGCCGCACAGAGACGTGGGTCTGCCGGGGTGCAAGGGGGAGGGGCCATGTTTCGTCGGCTACCTGTACCCTGCACTTGGGGAGCGCATCCGACACGACCCTTCGGCATAGTGCATGCAAGGCGCCCAGAGCGTGTGCATGCGTGCCTGAGGGAGGGCGAGAGACACACGCCGACACACACGCCGACACACACGCCGACGCACGCCAACGCACGCCAACGCACGACGACACGCCGACACACCGATCGGCGCTTTGGAGGCGCCGCACACAGTGTGGCACAGACTTGGGCGAACGGCCGGCCCCCGGGAACGAAGCGGCCCCAATCCCGGCCCGATGGTTGACTCGCGCGGCCCCCTGTTCGCCAGGGAGCAGGGCCCAAGAAAAGGCGGCCGCACGAAGCGTGTGTCTGTTTGGGGGCCGGCGTGTCGGCCTCTCCGGGCACACACGATCAGACACCGCGGCAGGTCGCGCCCCCTGCGCCATCCACCCGGCGTCCCTGCCCGGGGTGAAAGGCTGGCACAGGCCGGGCCCGGGTGGATGCGCACGCGCATGCGACCGCGCCCCCGCCTCCCGTGCGCAACCACCGTCGGGCAGGCCGTTCTTGGAACTTACCCCCACCCCGGCCGCGGGAGATGTGCATGCCGCGCGCGTGCGCCCGCCCAGCTGTACATGGCCCGCGCGCCCCGGGGCAGGGGCCGGTGACGGGGTCGGCCGGCGTGTCTCGGTGCGCCCCCGCCCGCCCGCACGCACGCACGCCCGCCCGCACGCACGCACGCCCGCACGTATATGCGTATACACGACAACTGCACCGGCATGCATCAGGTGAGTATACGACACACAACCTTCCGTGTGGCGGGGACCAAGGGAGGGGAGCAGCCTGGCCCCTGGCAGGACGGGCCCCGACGCGCACGCACGTCCTCCCCGGCCCCGGCCCCGGCCCCCATGCGCCCTCCGGCGGATTGGACATGCTCCGGCGGCGTGCATGCGCCGGCACGGTCGCCGCGCTCCCTGGTTTCGCCGGCCCGACGCCCGGGCCTCCTCCTCGCCCGCCGCCCCCCCCCCCCTCCTCCCCCCCTGTGTCGGGCCATGACTGCGCCCGTCGGGCCGGAGCAGCAGGAGGGCCGGGCTCCGAGGCGCCCAGGGCGGGGAGGGGCCGGGGCCTGGAACTGCCACTTGCCAAAGTGTGTAGCGCGTACGGGCGCGGGCGTGGGTAGGCCCGGCCGTGGCTAGGTACAGGTGCTCGCCCGGGGGGGGGGGGGCAGCCCGGGCGCCGCCCCTTCCGGCCCGCCGTCGCCGCCGGAAGAGTGTGGGAGCAACGCGTGCACGCAGATGCCGCTGCCTGGGCGGGCGGATTCCAGCGCACGCTCCGCGCACCCCGCGCCGGCGCGGGGGGCCGGGGCAGGGCGGCCGGCCAGGCAAGGCTCCCAATGATCCTCCCTGTGCCCCCCACCCGCCCAAAAGCGGGCAGTGGGGCGCCAGCGGCGGGGGGAGGGGGGGGCGAGGGGGCCGGGCCGTGTGCGTGTGTGCCTCCGGGCCCGGGCGTCTATTTGCCCGGGCACACCGAACCCCGGCATCGGGAATGGCCCCGCGAACCTCGAGCTCCCCATCCCTCCGGCGAGTGGGGGCAGGGCGGAGCAGACCGCGCACGCGAGAGGGGCCCGCAAGCCCATCCACCGTGGGGGCCGGGCCCCGCCAACGCCCTTGCCCCGCCGCGACGCATGCCCAGCACGCACACGCACACGCACACACACACACACACACGCACACACGCACACACGCACACACACAGCCGCCGGCCTCCGCCACCCGGGGTCCCTGGAGACCGCACGCGCCTGCGGGGCCTGCCGCATGCGGCGCGAACCGGGGGGAGGGGGGGGGGGGGCGCGAGGGGCGCCGGCGGACCCGTGCCTGTCACAAGCGGACGGCGCGCCCCGGGCCGGCAGCCACAAGCCCCGGGCAATCTCCCCCGGCCGCCTTGCCCCCCAGCCCGGCCCGTTCGTGAGCCCATGGCGTGGGCCCCATTCGCCGGCGCGGTTGCCAGTCCCCGGCAAGCGCTGGCACCGGGCCGCGAGCAGGAGAGCGAGAGAGTGCGCGCGTGATGCGTGCCCAGCTCGGACTCCCTGGAAACGGGCGCCCGGCGGGCCGGGCCCGGCCAAGCCACGAAGGGCAGCCACTCCCGGCCCCGGCCCCGGCCCCCCAGCCCCGGACAGCAGGCAGGGGCGGGGCCGGGGCCGGGGCCGGGACAAGCAGACGCTCAGACAGGGCGAACAACACGCCGGGGCACACGCCGGCCTGTGTGAGCCCTTCGCCAGGGCGCAACGCCCCTCCCCCCCTCTCCCCCCGCCCTCCCTGTCCCAACGTGGGCTAACCAGCCGTGGCCGGGGGGGGGGGGGGGACAACGCCGTGGCGTCGGGCAGCCGGCTGGACACCCTCGGGCCGGCGACCCGGCCGAGATGAAACAGTCTCGGGGTCGATAACTCTACAATAATAATACGCTATGATTGGGTGTGGGAGCCGGCCGCGGACCGGGCTGTCTGCCGGACCGCCGCCGCCGCGGCCGCCAGCCCAGCCCTTCGCCCGCCTCGGGCCGGGAACGCCAGTCCCCCCCCCCCCCCACTATGCTGCTCTGAGTCACAACACAGGCAGTGGAATCCCCCGCCCTACCCCCTCCGGATCCGGCGATCCACCGCCTGTGTGCAGGCACTCCCCAACCAAATACGCCCGACTCTTCCGCGCGGCCGGGACCGCCCCTCTACCCCGCACCCCTCCTCGCGAGCGGGCGCGTGGCCGGGGCAGGACTCCACGCGCCAGAACGCACCCGCATCCCCCCCCCCCCCCCCCCCCCCCGAACTCCAGTCACCTCCCCCCCCCCCCCCCCCCTGTCCGACCCCGGCCCCGGGCCCCCCGGGCTCAAAAAAAAAAGGGCACTCCCCTCCCCCCGCTTTTTTTTTCGCGCCGGACTCTGTCGCCGGGCCGCTCGTGCCGCCATCCGCGGCGGGCGCGCCCGGACGGCGCTGGCATCGCCCGACAACCCACGACCCAGCATGCGAGGAATGACCAGCCACAGATGTCTCCGCATGTTCGGCCGCCCGGGGGAATGCGCCCCCCTCTTCCCGGCGGGGGGGGATTCGTGGAAGGGTCCGGTGCACGCCACCGGCGCGGCTCCCCTGCTCGCCCCCCTCCCCGACCAAAGGGGCGCCTCGGGAGCGCGGCGCCTCCGGGCGGGGGGCGCACGCCCTGTGGCCCCGCCAGGGCGTGGCGGTTGGCAGGCGCCGGGGGCCCCCTCCCAGGGGGGGGGAGGCAGGCCGGCGAGGGGACCCGGCGCGCACCCCCCCCCCCCCCGGGCGCGTGTCCGACGCACAAAGTGCCAGCCCCCGCAGAGACCTGGCCCTCGTTCCAGGCCCCGGCCACCGCGGCGAAAGGGGCCACCGAGACTCGGCGACGGCCGCCCGGCCGGCCGGGGCGTGGTTTCGGGTGCGAAGCCGCGCGTGTGCGCGCGGACTGGTATTTCGTAATGCCAAAAGAGCGCGTACTCTGGGGAGACAAAAGGATAGGGCCCACCCGGGGTTGATCCGGGGACCTGTCGATCTGCAGTCGACCGCTCTACCACTGAGCTATAGACCCTCGTCGATGGAAGGCTCATGGACAAACGCCCTCATATGCCCCTGCCCCTTCGGGGAGCATCGCCGGAGCCCCCACGCATGAAGCAGGTGCCACATGGGTTAAGCCCAGGTCAAGTGAGTGAGGCTTGATGAAGGGCCGCTGTGTGATCTGCCACCCGGCCAGCAACACCTCCCGGCATGAAGAGGGAGAACATACCAACCAGCGGGTTCACGGTCGTCTGTTTCCGGGTGAGTCGGCAACCTGAGTTAAGGCGAGTTAGTGGCAAGCGAAATAGAAAGAAAATCGAATGTCAATAAAAGGGTTGGCGAGGAGGCCCCAGGACAGGTGCTGGCAGGATGAGGCCTCAAAGGGGATACTTCGGCAGACGCTTCGACACACAGCCGCCAAGGTCTTCACTCTCGGGGGCGTCCCAGCGGGGGCCCCCCGCCCCTTTTTGACCCTTGGGTTCGGTCCGGGGGCGGATCTCGCGGCCGGGCCCGTCGTCCACCCGTGCATCGCCATCCTCGATCGAGCGGCATAGGAGCGCTCGATCCCGGAAGTCACCCGGCTGTTGTCCGGCCCTGCATTCCTCCACGGAGAGTGCCGCTCAGGGCTGGTGACCATCCCCACTTAAGAGCACGTGCGATTGACCACCCGCGTGCTACTTGTCTGACGCTTACGTGGGGATCTCACGCCAGCCGCGAGGCGAAAAACAGCGCTTTTCGGTTGTTGAGGGTCTTCTTTCAGACACGCCGCTCTTTTAGCCATGCGGCGATCTCCTTCTGCTCGGGCAAACCCGAGGCTGCGAACGCCCGTCCTCCCTTTTCAGCACCTGCCCAGCAGGCTAGCCAGGCTCTTTACGCTGCCCTGCCTCCCCACTCATTGGTAGGCCTGCCCCATGTTCCGGAAGTGGGGGCTTGTGTTTGGTGTTGCAGGCCACCTCACTGAGACCGCCATCCTTCGGCAGTGGGCGCGACTGAGAAAAGGATACACCATACGCTTGCAGTTAGGTCTATTCATGTGTATCGAACTCCCCTCGCTGAGAGTGCCGGGGGAAGGCGCGATTTTCCACGGTGCTTGCTGGTGTTTGGTCGGTTGCCGACCGGGGAGCCTTGCGATGATCGACTTCGCGTGCGATCGAAGTGTGGTCTGGCACATTGGGCACTGCTTGTGGGTGACTTGCCTCCGGCCGGCCTTTCAAAGAGCCCCAGGGTCGGCTGCTCGTCGAATTTGAACTGGCCACGAGTGTTTGACGGCTTTCTGCTGGTTACCCCAAAGGGCGGCCACATCCACCAGGACCCAATCCAGTCCCTTGAACGTGCATGGAATTGTCCGAGACTCCATTGTCTGCACTGGGCGTTCGCGTTGCGCTCCTTCACCTCCTCCAATACCTCGCGTCTCGCGACTTGCGCACGGTCGGGATTGCTCCCATTTCCGAGAGATCGGAGCCGAATCCCGCCAGGATGAATTCCGGGTTGTAACCCAGGAACGACACTGGAAGGCGATTCATCGCAGCCGCGGCTTGCACGACGGCTTCCCCCCCCCCCCCCCCGGCATACTTCCGCTTGTGCCAGGCTGCCACCCGGGCCACACGAAGGTGCTGCAGCAGGATGCCGACGACTCGCCCGGCCGCGCCGTTGAACATGCGGTGGCTCGGAGCGGAGAGTCTAAGAGTATTGCTCTTGCGAGCCAGCAACCGCTTCCACCCCTCCGAACGGAACGTCGGTGTCCCTCCAACTTAATGGTCCCGGGGAATCTCCCCCAAGATTCGAATACCCGGCGTAGTTGACAATAGAAGTCGCCGGTGGTCCATGACAAGCTGCAAATGCAAACCCAAGCGTATCGGGAAAGCCGGCCCACAATCACCAGGAGGGCCTCACGCCCCAAGTCCCCAGGCAAAGCCGAGACCACGCCCAGCGAGACAACATCCGTAGGTCCGTTCGCAATCGGGCCCGGCTCCCTCGGCATCGTCAGCCGTGGCTGGCCTCGAGCCTCGAGAGCTTGGCAGCTCATGCACGTGCGGACATACCCGCCAGCGTATTGCCCAAGCCTCTGGCCAGCAAAACGGCCACACACCAGCCAGATGGTAGCCTCCCTTCCGAGATGCTTGTATACCCCGGAATCGTGGAAAATACTCCAATGCCTCCACAATCCCCGCCTCTGGCAGACAGACCTGACCCGTCAGGTGCAGGATGCCATTCCCTCACACATAAAAGTTAACGATACCCTCCCCCAGGGCTGTCATGTGCTGCCGGCCGGCCATTTGAATCCTCGACAGATTCTGCCTATAGCTCAGCCGGAAGCACCGGGTGAGGCCACAGGGGACTACGCTTAGCCCGATGGCGCCCGAGTCATAGCGCAGCCAGGAAGTCGCATCCCCACATTCCTTCAAACGAATGTAGTGGCCGACCCCCCCCCCCCCCCCCGGGCCTCATACAGCACAGCGCACCCAGCATCACGCCTAGCTCGGCCTCGTCGACCTCGGCCTCAAGTGGGCTCCCCCCCCGGGCTGCCCGCCAGACTGCGGAGCCTGCGCGACCGCTCGCCCGACACGCCAGCATTCGCCGCGAGAATCGAAGGACAGGAGAGAACAGGCGAGTATATTGCAAGAGCCACCGAGAGGCTCCACCTCCGTGCTACACGCCGCGCGTGTGGGTGGTCGGTCCGCCAGACTCGGGGTCCCTCCTCAGGGCCCACGGCCACGCTTCTTCTTGTGCGCGATTTGCCAGATCGCGGGTGGCTACCGCGCTGGCTCGCGCCCGGGCGGTCTCCCTCCGCAGGGCCTTGACCTTAATCCTCCGAAGGCCTCTCAGAGAAGCGACGAGGAGGGGGTGGGCGTACCTTCCGGCGCTTGGGCGGGGCTTGGACATTCGTCTCATTCGCTCGGGCGTGCTTCCGCAACTCGAAGTAGAGGCGGTACTTTCCCGACAGTCCGTCCCATTGGGCCGGCCATAGCACCTGGCCCGGCTCGATCCGACGCGCAAGCGTTAGGCCCTCCTTGGCGAGGAAACTGGGGTTTCGGGGACGGTCCGAAGCAATGATGCTCAGGACTCGCTTCACCGAAGTGTGCCTGTCGGTGCCCACACCGCGGGACGTCAAGAGGGCCAGGTAGCAGGCGTCTTTCCAGCCGAACCCGAAGCCCAGCTCGGACATCGCGTGGTATGTCATGAAGACTTGCTCGCCCAGCGTGGCATAGCGACACAGACTGTGGAATAGTTGGCCGATCAGCACCACCCGGTAGGCCTGTGGAACGCTACCCAGGCTCTCTGCCCAGGCGCTGCTGCGCCTCGAGCCCTCGAGGCTCCAATCCCACAGGACGTTCAGGGTGATCGATTCGAATATCTCTTTCATCTGCCTCTCCGAAGGTGAACGGCTCAGGCAGTGAAGGACAGCCTCCCGAACTCGGATAGCCAAGCTCATGGGGTCTTCCCTCTTCTCCCACACCGACCATCGAGTCGTGTCCACGCCCTCTTGGTGGCTTCGACACACTTCGACCTTCGCCAGCATTTCGCACACTCGCCAAGCGCGCACGGGCCGGAAACTGGGCGGGGGGCTCTCGCTCTCCGCCCAGTCCCACCGGTCATCCAGCCCCGTGAATGGAGTCATCAAAGGGCCGCCTGGAGCATCAGAGGCGCTCCGCAGCTGTAGGACCACCTGCTCTTCGTCCAGGAAGTCCATCCGGCGGCTCTCGGGGTTTAGCACAATCACCGGCCTGGCCCGTTCTCCTTCCGGGGGCTTGGGGCCGGATGCCTCTGCTTTCAGCTCAAGGCACGCCTCTCCCCAAGCACTCCAACGAAGGTGGCAGAGATCCGACCGGCAGCCGGTGCTCTGCAGCACGTCCTCCAGTAGCTCGTACGTCCTCAGCAGAACCATCCTGGGGGTGCCCTCGATGGGCATCCGCTCCTGGAGGTCCTCGAAGAATTGTCCTATCTTGGCGCCACCCTCCGGATCGGCCTCATATTCATGCTTGTACCACATCTCAAAAGCTCGGATGAACATCATGTCCTTACGACAGGGGACCCTTTTCGGTCTCTTGGAAGTGGTGGGCGGACCGACGCTCGGAGGAATCGGAGATTCGGTCATGGCTGGGGCGACGGGAAAGCGCGAGTCAGAACTGATTCGCGCCAAATCGCGAGGCAGAAACCCAACCCACAATGAGCCACCCCTCTCGCATAGGCTCATTCACTCTGTGCTCGAGTGCCCCAGGATGGAAGTCCTCCATCCTGAGAAGCAGCTACTCGAATCCGACGTCCGACGCCACGTAGTGGTGAGGTTCCGCCCTACCGGCCGCCAGGTGTTGCCCATGCGCGCCGGTCCCGATAGTGTGCGCCAGCGGCCGGGTGTCCCTTCGCCCACCAGAGTGCCTCTGGGGTTCGATGGCACCCGTGTAGTCTCCGAGACTACGCGACCCATCGGGGTGTGGCCGTGAGGCCGCGCGGGATTCGACTCTCCCGCCGTAGCGCCGAGAGTCCCCCCCGGTGAGTCCTGCAAGGAGAGAAAGAAAAGCCAAGCGGCCGTGGCAGGAGCCACACGGGCTAGGCCCAGGTCAAGTGAGTGAGGCTTGACGAGGGGCGCCTGTGCGACCTGCCACCCGGCCAGCAACACCTCCCGGCATGAAGAGGGAGAACATACCAACCAGCGGGTTTACGGTCGTCTGTTTCCGGGCGAGTCAGCAACCTGACTTCAGGCGAGTTAGGGGCGAGCGAAATAGAAAGAAAATCGAATGTGAACAAAAGGGTTCGAGAGGAGGCCTTGGAACAGGTGTTCGTCGGCTCGACTGGTGCTTCGGCTACACTTCGGCATACGCTTCGACACACAGCTGCTAAGGTCTTCACTCTTGGGAGCGTCCCAACGGGAACCCCCCTTTTGACCCTTGGGTTCGGTCTCGAGGTGTGGATCTCGCGGCGAGCACCCGCGTGTCTCCATGCTCGGCCGAGCGGCATACACGCTGGACTTCGCGGAGGCACCTGGCTGTGTTGTCCTCTGCCCCGCATTCCGCCACAAGGAGTGCTTGCAATGGAATACCCCTGTAAACAATAATTCAAATAGCACGTGAGGAGACTCGCGTGCTATATGGCAGGGCGGCGGAAGTCCCAAACAACACTCCTCCCGGAAGGAATGCACGGTGGGACAACAGCCAGGCGGCTTCCGGGATCGGGCACTTCCATGTCGCTCGGCCGAGCATGGAGACACGCGGGTGATCGCCGCGAGATCCACACCTCGAGACCGAGCCCGGAGGTCGGGCGCTGCCGCTGGGCATCCCCCCCCCCCCCCCCCCC